GAACCCTCCCATTGTGGAGTCTGATCTGTGTACTTTCTGTTCATCATGCTCTGAATCTCTTATCCATTTGTTTTACCAATGTCAATGCACCCAAGATTTTTGGGAAACACTGTACATGCTTTGGGGGGGGGGGGGGGTAAGCTTGGTCTGAGGGCATTCTCGAATGCACAACAAATCCTTTTTGGGGATGAAAACTTTACATGTTTAGTCAACTTCCTCTTTCTGGTAGCAAAAAAATATATTTACTTGTGTAGACATAAAAATCAAAAGCCAGAATTCATGGCATACAAAAGATATGTAAAATATTTCCTGGAGATAGAGTACTTCATTGCTGTCCGACGGAATAAGTTGACTTCTCATAACCAGAAATGGGGATATTTTATGAAAAATGTTACCCAGTCCACTTCACAATATGTAGATTAATTGCAATTTGTAATGTACAAACCAGGTATGTGAGATGTTAATTTCAGTGCAAACTCCAATAAAAGTTTATAAATACAAAAAAAAAAAGTGTGCTTGGAGGCAGTGCTAACATGAGTAAACAGTCGTTATATAAATCTTGTGAAGGAGAATTCCAAAATACTATCAAACATGAAAGCAAACACAAGCATGCATCACAAACCAATGCTTTAAATGTAATTTAAATGTAAAATTACTATTTTTTTTACATTCAGAGTCATGTAGTCAAGTAATAAAAAGGTTGTCATCTGATAACATTTTCATTGTATATGTAAAGTTGGTTTTTAATACGAGACTACGACTACAACTATATATGCCCTCTCATATAAACCATGGAACTATAAACCCCAGGAAGAACAACCACTTCGTTTCCTTTGAACTATGATAGTTGCCGCGATGTCGAATGTTTATTTTGACTGTTTATTTTGTCGCATTAAAAAATAAGCCGATTTACGCAAATGAACGTTTATCTCCGACTATCGGTCATTTTCGGAGTCAATCGGACGACTCCGGGAGATCACGTGACCGAGTTGTTCCGGTTATAGCATAAAAAAACAATGGCGCCAAGACAAAAACACTGATAAATGATCGACATTCAACGGGAAAAAAAAACACATTGCCACTTCTGGCGATCGAAGGGAAACACGGAATTAGTCGGGATATCTCAACAACAAACAGCTCACCAAACCCCATGTTTCGCAAACTTTCGCAACCTTATTTTTTCGAGGGTTGAAAAAAACAAGAAGTAATCTAAAAACGACATTAAAAA